GCTCCTGGGTTCGCTTAAAGGTAAGAAAAAATAAATAAGGCTCCTGGGTTCGCGATGAACCCACGAGCTGGGTTCAACGCGGCGAACCCACGAGCTGGGTTCAACGCGGCGAACCCACGAGCTGGGTTCATCGCGGCGAACCCACGCTCCTGGGTTCGCTTAAAGGTAAGAAAAAATAAATAAATAAGAAAAAAAAAGGCTGAAGGAAGGAGAGGGTGGAGAAGAAAATAAGGGTAAATTGGTAATTAAAGATAAAAAATTTGGCCATATCATCGAGTTTTGCCACATGGATTTCACACATAATTTAAGTAAAGAAAAAAATAAAATTTTCCGTTAATTAACTTGCCACATCACCTAAAATTTAACGGAAGGACTAAAAAGGGGCCGGATTTGTGAACAGTAAGGACCAAAAAGGGGATTTTTTTGGTACAGGGACTAAAAAGGGGTTTTTTCCTATAGTAGAGGGACCAAAAAGGGTATTTAACCTAAATAGATTTAAGAACGAGCTCAATGCCATAGTCTTCGCAAAATGACTTGAGCACCACAGCTCAAAATTGAGGGTTGTTATCTGCAATAATTCGTTTAAGAATGCCAAACCTACGCATTACCAAGTTGGCTAAGTGACAAAATGTGTGTATACGTAATATACATGGTTTAATCCTCAAGAAGAGTACTTGCACTATATGGAACTAAATAAGAACTCCTCCACCTTCTTTTTCAATTGTTGTGGTAACGGTTTAGCTTCCACCCACTTAGTGAAGTAGTCAATAGTGATAATTCGGTGTGTGCAACCTCCATTGCTTTTAACGAATGGACCAAGTAAGTTTATTCCTCATTGGGCAAAAGGCTAAGGCGAGGTGAGAGACGACAACATTTCCTATAAGAATTTAAAGAAGACTTGCATTTGCACTACTAAAGTTATTGTGGAAACACAGATAGACTTTGTATGTTTGTGTTAAAATGAGCTATGTTACCTGGTATATCAATATCATTGGAATTAAACTGGTAGGTCAGACATTTTTTAACATAGTTTTGGGCATCTTCCACCATGTAGGGCCAATAAATATCCCTACCTAAGGAGTTTCCAAGGTAAAGTCTTCTTGCCTATATGGGTGCCACATACTCTTTCGTGTACTTCCCTAACAGTATACTTGGCCTTGTAAAGAGTAAGGAGTGTAATAAAGGCATCGATGTTGCTCTTTTATACAGTTGGCCTTCAACTAGAGTGAAATGAGTCGCTCTATGTCTGATGAGCTAGGCCTCAGATGCGTCATCAAGCAGCTCACCAGACTGTAGATAATTAATCAATGGTGTTGTCTAGCTTGGCGATAATAGGTCAGTACTTAAGACCTGACAATCAAAAAGTGGGTTAGCATAACTTGGACTGTCTAGCACCTCCACATATGTTGTGTATTGTGGATATATCCCTTGGGATGAAGCAAGCTTGGACAATTCATCAGCTCAACGATTATCCATGGGCAATATTTTGTCAATCCGAAATGAAGCAAAGCCCACTTTTAATCAAGTAACCATAGAACAATAATGAGCTAGCTGAGGATCTTTAATGTCACAGTTCCCATTAACTTGATTCATGATGAGTTGGGAATCACTAAACACTCTTATGTCTTGCACTTTTAGTTTAGAAGCTACTTTTAGGCCATAAATGAGTCCTTCGTACTCAGCAGCATTATTAGTTGCCTGAAACTTAAATCTCAGAGCATGCTTGGTCTTAAAACTGTTTGGGCCAACTAGCATCGTTCCAGCCTTTGAACCTTCAACATTTGTGGCTCCATCTACATATAATGCCCATGTGTGGTATGGAATTATAGCTTCCTCTGTAGCTGTTGACTGATATTCAACTAAGAAGTCTGCTAAAGCCTAACCCTTGATAGTTGTG